TTCTAATTTTTCAAGTTTCACCTGTATTTGTATCATGCAACACAATTAAATTATTTACATTTAAGTCACTTTACTTGACAATAAAAAGGGGAAATAAATATATCTATATATCTATACACCCCCCCCCCAAATTTCTATACTCCTCCAAATAAGATTTCCTGAAGTACAATCATTGTTTCAATATAGGAAGAAGAGAGGTGAGTTCTTCAGACCATTGTATACTTGATAAAAAGAAAATTCTTCCAGCATTGTAGTAATATTTTTTTGCAATCACAAAACCATACAGTATCTATTTCCACTATTATTCTGTTAATTTGCATGGAGCTGGCTTAGAAGGATACCATCATGGTCAATGGTACTGAAAGCCACTGAGAGATCAAGGGGCACAAGGATAGATGCACCAGGGCCATCCTGGTTCTGCCACATGTCACCGACAAGCGTGACCAAGGCTGTCTTAGTACTAAATCCTGGCCTGAAACTCGACTGAAATGGGTCTCGATAATTCGTTTCCTCCAGAGTTCTCATACGGAACCACAACTCAAAAGGAAAGACAAGCTACCTTCAAATAGCATTTTCATGTTTAATTTATACACATACCTTTTCCAATACATGAGAGCAACAGGGGCTGAGACATATTTGAACACCATTCCTTTGGGCACGACACTATGTTTTTCATTGTTCTTATAACTAGTTAGGAGCATTACCTATCTCATTATCTGATTACTCATAAAACAAAGGTGAATATATCTGTACGTGAAGGGTGTTAGAGTGGGAATGGGTTGGAAGGCTATCCAAAATCAGGATTAGAATTGAGAAAGCTCAATTGAAGAATCTGTCTATCCAAGAACAGCAAACCAAATAACTTCCTTGCTCTCTTACAGCATTCTTTTCAAGGTATCCTGCTCTCCCTTTCAGCAGTGCATTCTGGGAAAATGGCAATACTTCTGGGGATACTCTCACACCTGGTAAGCTAGAGTCTAATACAAAGCTTGCATGCCATCTTTAACACCTCTGGAAATCATTTGTGGCCCCCCAAATTAATTTTCTGTAATGGCAGAAACCTTACAAGACCACCTAATGTTGTAAAATTTCAGCATACACTAGATTATTGAAGGTGTGATTGCCAGATCTAGTGAGATTATCTAGGTCAGGATGCCTGGTGCCTGAAATGGTTGTCAAGCACTGACATTAAAGAATCTTAGTATGTTTCTTTTCTCCTCTATCATGATGTCAAAGTCAATATCCATATACTGTCACTGAATAGGGAAGTGATCAATGCTCAAAGCAGCCATCGTGCTCTAGTAGGAGATACTAGGCAATTTAATCTTAATTTTTCAAGGCACACTTAGGCTCAGCTTTCCCCAAAAAGGCACCCTTCAGATAAGTCAATCTACAGCTCCCATAATCACCACTCAACATGACCAAGGATTGATGATGAAAATTTTGAAACCTAATACCCAGCAAACTGAAGGGTATTAGATTGAAATGTATCAGCCACTCTCATAGAACACTAAAGCAGATTGGAATATTATTCTTAGACATCTAATTTTCAGCATAGGGAAGAATGCATAGCATTTTTTCCCATATTCTTGCTCCAGTCATGGCCCATTCCTCAGCATAAAAGACTTTTATGAGATATTTTAACCTACCTCAAACTTTTGGTAGGCCATTCACAAAAAAGGAGGACCACTCAGACTTACCATTTAGTTTTTTCCTTTAGCTTTGGAGGCTGAAAGTTGCTTTTGGACATTAGAAAGAGAGCCCTGAAAATGAGAAGTAAACAAGTTTTGAAAATACAGTTTTCCTGGTAATACTCTTCCCTTGTCTTAACTCTTGCAAAGTTACAATGGAGAGGAATCTATCTACAGACCTCATGGGATGAAGTTCAAACATGGGTGGCTGCAACTCTCCAAGCTCAATTGCTGTTATGCCCACAGCCCAGATGTCACAGAGTTGGTTGTAGCCACCGTTCTTTTCTACAGCTGCCACTTCTGGAGCCATCCTTAACCAGAGAAGTAATACTACCATTAGAGAGCAAGAACAGTTCAATCATTCTCTAACACCCTCGACTCACTGAGCAGCATATTATGAGCATATGTGGTCTGTTACACTAAAACAGCCTGCATTTTTTTACAACGCATCAAGCCAAATGAACCTGTCATGCATCATGGTTTCCTAAACTCAGCCAGCTAAAAGCAGGTTTCTCAAGTTCCAAGTGAGCTGATGAGAGACATTTTTTACTTCATGGGTCACAAGCTGTGCAGGCCTGAACTCAATGCTGTTGATATTGATTCAACAGTCATGGAACTTAAGGAATGCAGCCTGAGACAGCACTGAAAAAAACGACAGACACTATTCTGGGGATAATTCTCAAGTTTCAAGTCTTGACAATCTGGCCAGTTCAAAAGCATGTAAGATCAGCCTTTCCATAAATAAAGACTATTTGCAAGCAAATTCAAACATACTTCTGTGATCATGAAGACTAGAAGGTTTGTTTGTTTATCAGATTTATATATGTGAGTTTGTTTATAGTAAGGTAGAATTCTCACATTTAGAACAACCAATTCACAGAACAGTGTTTTTGGCTACCTGTTGCAGTTTGTTCATTAGATTGATCATTGACTGTAGGCCTGTACATTAACGTTTGTATTCCAGACAAACAAAGAGTATTCCAAAACTCACTTATAGCTGTTTCTTTTGCTACATCCGCTGCCTAAGCATGTGAACAGTGCTGTGTATGAGATGAGATTCATGTACACCCACCACAGCAAAATATACTTCCTGGATTGTGAAAATTATTGCAACTGAGACCCATGTATTCCTGGCTCCATGTTACCCTCCTTGCTTGACCAGATACTTTTGGTGAACCAAAAGTTGTGTACGGCAGAAGGCATTCCACACAGAGACATGTCTATCCAACAACTATATAGATGGATGTAATAGTCTACAACCTGCTGTTTCCAACATACCATATCCTTAGCTGAACAATTCTATTTCAGATTCTTTATAGCACAGCCAGGAAACCCTGGTTCAAGGTCACCGGCCCTTGTTTAAATAATCCCAAGGAACTTATTACCAGTAAGGGGTGCCAATAAATGACTTCCTCTTTGCGATCGTGGCTGTTATTTTTGCTGCTACGCCAAAGTCAGCTGCAGAAGAAAAAATTGAAGACATTTCTAGAAGCTGCCTTCCATTTCATACATAAATCCAAGAAAATATTATTTAGATCCTTGTTTCTCATCTGGGGCATCTGAATGCCAAACCCTTCAGTTAAGTAGATAGTGCTTAAGAGTTCATCTAGAGCCAGTGCCAGGAATAAAAGCTTTACTTCCTGATTCTGCTACACAAATCATTCTTAGCAAGTAAATGAATGAGACTAGAGTTACAGACATTTGGTATAGGATATAGCAGAATTGAAGCAAGTTTAAAATTGGAGAGAGGCTTCACTGAGACAGTGCAGTGCTTTCTGGTTATTTTGGCCAAGAGGCCATATAAGCACCTGCCACAATTTTGTGCACTGTTTAATTCACAAGTATTAAGCATAAATGCTGCATCTGGGACAGACTGTGAGCTCAAAAGAAAATGATGCTCTTCCCAATGCCCTCTTAAGTCTCAGACATTCATAGAATATGGCTAAATTTCCCTTAGCTTTCTTCTTGCCTCCAGAACAGCACAACATCTTAGACTCAGTTTCCCATTATCGAACATTCTGGAGCTTGAATTCAGATTACTGTGAGATAAAGCCTTGGCATGGAAAAAATGTATGTGGCCACTGAAAGTCAAACTGATGTCCTCCAAATGCTTGAATTACAGCTCTCATAAGCCAGCATGGACCAGCCAGCATGGCCAATGGTTAGGAGTTCTGAGAGATGCAGTAAAAAATGTAGTGTGTTGAAATTCAAAATATCTACAGTATATTAAAGAAGATTATAGAAAGTTAGGTCACCCACCTAGCTTGATGTCTCCATGGTCAGTCAGCAGAATATTTGCACCCTAAAATACAAAAAGTTTTCAAAAGTGTAGGTTATTTACCTTCCTGTAGAGACTATTTTTTAGAGTAAACACAGGGAAATGGTGGCTATCCAGATGTTGATGAACTATAACTCCTAACAGTCTACAGGAACAATAATAAAGGATGTTGGGCACTGTCCTCCAGCATCTGGAGAACCATAGATCTCTCACCTCTTGGCCAAAAGCAAAAGATTCTTCTTAAAGAGTCACATACCTTAATGTCCCGATGCATTTTGCCTTTCATGTGCAAATAAGCAAGTCCCTGAAGAATAAAATCAGAAACAGAAGCGGCTAGTATAAGGATGTAATTTATATTAGAATTAAAGACATCTAAAGCTACCTGTACAATAAGGCAGGATGATGATGATGATGGTGATGGTGATGATGATGATGATTTAAATGTGTGTGTTGCCAACTCTCCTGGCAGCTTAGAACAAAATCTAAAGTATGATTTTTTTAAAAAATAGTATCCAACAAGTTTAGGGATTAATTGTAACTTCCTGCCTCCAGACAATGGTGGTACTACAATTGCTATCATCCCCAGTAATGTGGTGATCGTCCCTACTGGCTGGGTGTGGTGAAACTCTCTTCCAACATATCTAGAAAGCAGCAGGTTTGATAAAGAGAAAAGACAAATTAGGTAATCGTAAAGGAGACTGGAAAAAGCTATTCAAGAAATTCAAGGAAAAGGAGTCACTTACTCCTAAATCAGTATTAATAAGATTACCAACATTTCTGATAACAAAGAAAGGAACTTGATGTTGAGAATAACTGCAGCAGTAAGAATATTACTGGCCCCAAAATGAAAATCATCAGAACTTCTTTGCTTAGGCAATGGCTGTAGAAAAATGTGGCACAGTGTGATTATTTGAAAATTAGCCATTACGCATTCTTGGGCAGGAAGAAGTTGTTCAATCCAAGTGTTTATGAGTAAGTGGTTCCTATTCATTCATTACTGGCATAAGACATTTCTACATGGTCACATAAAAGCTCAAGCTGTCTATTTGTTGCAGATAACTTGTTACAATTGTTGCCAAGTATTGTTACGCTAAGTGCCAAAACTTCATGTTAAATATAGTCCTAATATACTTGATGTAGCTGATACTATTTTCATATCCTTCCAGGCACCTAATTAACGTAAGTGCAGCAAGACAAGACTGATTTGTGGTTTACAAATTATTTTTAAAATGTTTTTATAGACAAAGCCTTTTTTTATAAATGGGAAAGCACCATTTGAATTTTCAATCACACTTGAAATGTTGAGTTTTCTTTGAACAAGATTTAGGATCATTCTACACACAGCACAAAATAAGGTAGGAGAATTCAAGATTGCACCATTTCAGAGAAGGCTCTGGACTACAAAATTTGAGTGACAGAAACTTGACTCTTTCTTTTAAGTAGTGTCTCAAGGGGAAAAAATCCTGTAAATTGTAAGCTTACATACTCCTCCCTATTTGCATAATCAGCCATTCACACATACATGCCCACATATACTCATACACACACTATTCCCTTAGGGGGCAAGCAATGCTATACAGAACACAGAAAAAGAGTAAGAAATACTAAGCCAAACAAATTAAAGGTTTGAAGAAAGAAAAGGAAATATAGCTAAAACTAGTTATCAACTTAATTCACTATGCAACTCCTTAGCTTTCCATCATTGCTTCTACCACATTCCTACGTTGCTTCATACACTATCTTTTGTTCTTTAAACTTCTCACTTCTCTCTTCCTAGCCATTTTCCTTCTTTTGACTAACATTCTTGCCTCACATCACACATCTCACATTGCCTTTTTAATCAATATCTGCATCTCTTAGAATTTTTCCATCAGTGTTCCCATCTTTAGTAAACAATGTATTGAAATATACAAATTCATCTTTCTGCTCTAGTTTTTTGCTATCTGTAACTAACAATCATTCACTTGATTTTCCCTGTCAAATACAACTACCTTTGTTTTTGATGTAAACAGTTTTTACACTGATACTTCTCACTGTATCCTACAATCCATTATTTGCTGCAAATATTTGGGTTCTCAATCAACAACATAGCATTATCTGCATACAGAAGTACACATACATTTACATCCCCAATCAACACACCAGTACCATCATGACAAGCATTTCTTATACACATACATAAATATATTAAAAAATCATCTTATTAATCTATAAAAATAAGACTTCACTCAGTGCAGGTTTAAAATTATGAAGTCCAGAATTCTATTCTCTACAAAGACACATATCTGTCAAAACTATTTTCTTTAATTATATTAAGGTCTTCTGCACTAAGAATCAGCAATATGTTGTATATCACCTTTATACAAATGCTTGTGTTATATTTTTTAAAAAGCAGTAAAGGGCTCTTTTTTCCTCAATTATAGGCAGATATTTATTTGTTCAAAATTGTTTTTTTCTAGAGCAATCTAGCTGCTTAAAACTAGATAGTTCTAAATGTGGTCTCCATGAGCCTCCTTACATTTATATTACAACAGAGATTTATTCAGTAGCACATCAAACAGAGCTGTCTTCTACCCAGCCAGCCTGTCTGGGAATATCTATTGTAACATCGTTTCCACCACAATTTTTTCTCATTCTTCTCAGATGAACATCTCTGAACTGGAGATTCTAGAGACTGAAACCACACCAATCCTATCCAGATAACCATGTAGAAACACAGATATATTAAGCCTTATCTTTGTTATTCTTATGACTTTATCCATGTTGTCCCTCATTTCACTGTTTCACATGAAAATTAAGAAGCAGCAGCTGTTAGGGAACTGATTCAAGATATCACTTTAGAAGTAGCTGTTTGCTTTGAAATGTATACTTTAAAAGACATGCACGATGCCTGTTTGTTTTCAATTAGCACAGAGCAATACCTGACAGAGTATGAACTATATCCCCCCCCCCCAGTTTAAATCACAGCTCAGCCCAAAGAAGTGACTTGGTGGCCTAAGGCAAACCTTTAAAGCCCTTCATGGCATGGGGCCAGGTTACCTGAGGGACTGCCTCTCCCTGATTACATCTGCCCATCCCATCAGGTCCGGCACAGAAGGCATGCTACAGGTCCCGTCTGCCAGAGAATTACCTTTGGTGGGTCCCAGGAAGCCAGCCTTCTGCCATGGCGTCCGCCTTGTGGAATCTTCTCCCCCCAGAAGCGAGATTAGCTCCATCCCTCTTAACATTCCACAAGTCCCTCACGAACTGGCTATGTGATCAGGCCTGGGGCTCCCAGGGGACCGGAGAGATTTTGCAATGGTTCTCTTATTAATTTTATCCCCTCCTGTTTTGGGTGTTTTTACTGTTTTTTTATATGTAGTTTTTATGTATTTATTCTTTTTAATTGTTGTGTGTCGCCCAGAGTCACTTTGTGAGAGATGGGCAGCTATATAAATATGATAGATAGATAGATAGATAGATAGATAGATAG